GTAGAAAAATTAAATACCTAAACTAATAAATCATATTTTCTATCATAAGAAATAACAAGGTTAATTTCTCATATTTACAAGATTAAATGGTGTTGATAAGTTTTCACTTATATGGTTTACCAATAATATGCAATTGTATATCATTGATATACTACCATGAATAAAAACACACAAAAAAAATGTTTACATAAAACAAATAAAACACATGCAGTAAAAAATTTCGGACATCTTAGCTCATTATAGAGAATCAATGTCCTTTTACAATGAAAATTTTGGGTTTACATTCATTTTCATGCAAGGGAAGTCTAACAACCATACTTGCTTGTGGAGGCACAAAAATTGAATTACTTATGTTGAGACGTCTCTTGCAAAATAATACACTTGTTAGGACAACAAGAAAGCAATATGTGAATATCACTTCAATTCATCTGCCCACCAAAAAAAGGAAGGAATTATTGTAAAAGGAAAGAGATATAATAGACATGTGTGCAATGATTTGATTCAATTAGTTAAACTTTAGAATCATTTAGTTAGTTATAAACGATGGCAAAGCTCTATGTGTGTGATCGGGGGCAAATGCACCCTTTACATAGAGAAAATTACATAGATGATGTAAACATTACAATCTTGCACTCTTAATTTTAAATTTCAAATGCTATAGACTTGATAAAAAATATTTTGGTTCAAAAACTTCTTAAACAAGTGATATTTTAACTCATATTTCATAAATTTAAACCAAAAATTTTATACTCATTAGACATATTATTAAAAAAATGAATCAAGAGTTGTTTAGTTTATAATAAAATCCAAACGCAATAAATTAAATTCATCCTTTTAGGTAGTAGTTTAATTTTTTTTTTTTTTTCAAATTAAACTGTATATTAACACTCTTAACATATTTTTTTGCCCAAATAAATCCTTAGTATATTTTTTCCAAACAAAAATATGCATAACTTTACTTATGTTATTATATTTTTTGTTTAATATAATTATTTTTTAAATTATTATAATATTTTTAAAATATTAATTTTTAAATTGAGTTGCATCGCACTCTCTAATTCTGAATTCTCTAATTCTGAATCATACAGGAGATGTACTCGTGGACAAGTTGATACAAAACATTTAGTAATATATTTGTTCTGCAGATCAAAAAATTATTTTTTATTGATTTTATGAATATATTATATTTTAAAATATTTTAAAATCTCATTCATAATTTATAGGAATTATATTTTTTTTATAATTATTGAGCCAATTTATTCATTATAACATATGTATATTTGTGATTTTATAATTTGGTATTGCCATGGGAGATGATGCTCTAGAACTAGCCATAACTTCTCTGCAAGCTGTGAACATCCACCTGGCCTTGACCTTTCTCCGCAAAGATAGCAGAGTTGTTGAGAAAAACTGTACTAGACTACGAGCTATGACAAATATAGAACTCTATAATCAATATTTTGCATAAGAGATGCTTGTTTGAATTTTTTAAGTAGCTTTTGAGAACTCTTAGGAGGTTTGTTTAATTATTCTGATAAGCATTTCAAAGTAAAGAGAGTTTTTTTAAGCTCTTCATTAGTGTAACCTCCGCAAAATAACTTCAGCTTCTCGTAAAATTTTCAAGCAATAAATCAAATTTTAAATTGCACAAAAGTCATTTATTTTTAAAACTTGAATAAACAGGCTCAACAAATAATTATTTATTAGTCAATGTTACATAGCGACTTAGTAACTGGAACACAGTAGAAGGTATTGCCTCCGGGGGAATTGAATCAGTGAATCTTCTTTAGACTTGTCGGGGAATTAATGGGTTGAATGGACCATTTCTTTTTGTCTCGAGTATTTAATCCCCAGGGCCAGAACTCAGAAGTAATGCCAAATCCAAAAAATTAAACTCAGCAACACTTGTCCTGCAAGAAAATGCTTTGTCAAAAGTTCAAAACGCAGTGATGCTCTACATGTGGGCCCATGCATGCCTCTTCCCCCATAAATATTCCATGTCATATGCAGGACCGCAGACTATAATAATAATAATAATAATAATAAATCAGCATTATCATGCACAGGTCAATCAAAGACTCAACCATTCGACGGTCCCCCGCCGTGGGTGGGGAGATCAAAGTCATTCAAGTGGAACAGACGTCTCTGAGGTTAAATTGCACTTCGGTGTATGAGTGAGTGTCATCCTAAATATATTACTTAAGCAATATAGCAGTTAAAGTCACTTAATGTTAGTTTTAAGATTGTTATTAAAATCCTTTCTACTAGGACGAGGGGAGTCATGAGCTACCTGGCTAAACCTCAACAGTGTAGCTTCATTGAAGGAAGACAAAACAGCAATAATATCATCATAGGTCAAAAAATAATTCACTCCATGAGAAATAAGAAGAAGAAGGAAGGTTTGTGGCTATAAAAGTGGACATGGAGAAAGCTTATGATATACTTTATTGGGTTTTTTTACATAATACTCTAAAGAAGTTAAGCTGAGTGATTTTATTATCAATCTCATCATGATATGTTTTGACAAATGTTATGAAGTTTTTATGGAATGGTGAAGACACCTCCCAATTCTCTCCTACTGAGGGCCTTAGACTATGGGATCTTCTCAGTTCATATTTGTTTGTCCTTTGTATGAAAATGCTTAGACGTATCATTGAAAGGGAATGTAAGGAAAAAAAAATAAAAACCTTTTAAATTCTCTAAGAAATGACCTACTATTTCTCATTTGTTCCCTGTTGATGATCTTTTACTTTTGCTAAAACCTCAATAGAACAAATTGAAGTTGTTAAGAAGGTCATGGTGGATTTTTGTGAAGCTTCTAGATATAGAATCAATTGGGCTAAATCTAAACTCTGCTTTTGACTAACATACATCTTAATCAAGCACTACGATCGAGCCAAATGGTGGAGATAGGCCTTGTTAGTAACCTTGAAAAATGTCTTGGGTCCTGCTTTTACATACTAGAGCAACAAACCTCACTTTTGATCTCGTTATCTAAGAAGCAAAGGAAAAAACTTTCTTCATGAAAAGGAAAGTTTCTAAGTATGACTAACAGAATGATTCTCATTACATCTGTTCTTTCAACTATCTCAAGCTATTCAATGCAATCTTTGCTTCTCCCTAAAGGGATTTTGAATGAAAGTTGAAAATTTGAGTAGGAATTTTCTTTGGAACCAATTTGATGATTCTAGGAAACTACACCTTATTGCTTGGAAGAACATCAAAATGGGAAAGAAAGAGGGGGGTTTGGGCATAAAAAATCTCTATAATCATAATAAAGCCTTCATGCTTAAACTTTTTGTCAGGGAATCTTGTGCAAACTTGAATGCCTTTGGGTCTAGTGCTTAAGAGCTAAATATAAGTGTGACTGAGGAGGACACATTAATGTTAACAAAAAAAAAAAATCTTCCTATACTTGGAGGAGCATTGTCAAAGTTCAGGATATTTTCTTGAATGGAGTTGAAAGAAAAGTTGTTGGGGAAGAGAAACTTTGTTTGATGGGACAAATAGACTAATCTTGATCTACCTCTCATTGCTTATGTGATTAACAAGGATTATGTTGGCAATCTTAATGCCTCGATTAGAGATTTTGTGGCAAATGAAGGAAGCTGGAAGACTTTTACATGGTTTAATTGTTTGCCCCTTAATATCATCAATTCCATGTGCGCTAATCCCATTCCAAGGGGTAATGGTGTGGATGGTTTTAGCTAGGCTGGATATTCGGATGGGGTTTTCTCTTGTCAATTTGCTTATGAGTACATTGTGAGATTGAAGAACAACAATCCAAATCCTAGGTGGACTCGACTATGGAGATGGTAGATTTTAGAAAAGTTAAAATGTTCCCGTGGCAAGTGTTCCATGAAAAACTACCGACTAATTCCATCAGAACTAGAAATGATCTCTCTAAAAATAATGTGTCCTTTTAAGTATAATGGTGAGGAGACAATCTTACATACTTCAAAGTTTTTTTTGTGGTAATTTGTAGGATTGGCTCAAGTAGAACTCAACTCATAACTCAGTTGGAAACAGATTCAAACACTGGCCATGGACAAAAAATTTTGACCTTATTTGTTGGAATTTGTGGACATCTAGATGTAGAAAAATCTTTGATGATAGTACATCTTTAGCAAATGAAGTCACTCGCTCTTGCTTAGCTCAACCAATGGAGGAGACTGTTAATGGAGTATTGAGAAATGGAATCATTAATGTTTTTGATGATTCTAATTTGCTTTGGAGACTACCACCAGAAGGTTTTATTCGAATTGATATTGGTGCCTCGGTTTAGCAAAACCAACATGCTACCTATGGGGGAGTGTTCAGGAATTCACCGAGGCAATGGATTATGGGCTTTCAGAAGGATCTTGGGCTGATGGAAGTTTCCACAGTTGAGCTTCACGCCATTAAGATAGGATTGAAAGTTTGTAAACTCATAGGATATTCCAAGGTACAATTATTTTCAGATTCTCTTGAAGTGATAAATTCATTAATGAGAGAGGGGGGTCCTGGAAGTAGATACAGGAATATATTGGAGGACATTAGAATTTTGATATATACTGATTGGAAAGTTGAGATTCATCATGCATATAGAGAAAGCAACAATATTGCAGACTTTCTTGCTAAGGATGCAACTCGGATAGGCGAAAATCTGGTGCTACTTCATGAAATTCCGGAAGGATGCAAGGACCTTTGGCAAAAGGATTGGGAAAATAGATGCTACCTGGCCTAGTCTGCTATTTTGATTTATGTAAGAGTGTAACTCTTTGTACCTTTTTCTCAAGCTGTTAAGCTTGCCTTTGTATTTAAAAAAAAAAAAAGGACAGAAACAACAAATTCTAAGACAAATAGGCCCGGCCGCCGGGACAGAGAGAGGTCAATTGAAGACAATTAACCTGCTAGGCCTTTTAGACGCATATACGCCTTCATGTCCCTTCAAAATATAAATATATAGGGCTAAACAACTATTTACTACAGCCAAAAAAATGACAGAATGTGAATGGCAGTTAGATTGAAGCCCGGCCAACTTTATTGAATTTAGGCATCAGAATCTTTGTTACACTGCTATATCTAATACATGGTAAAATGACAAATGCACTCCAGAAAACACATATACATTAAGCGTATAGACAAGTTCTTGAACACTAAACCGATTGGGCAGTTTACATTCTCTGATGTTTCATTAGGGGAAGTTCTTTATATAAAAACAAGCTAATAAGGTTTAGATGACTCAATTATCAAATAGCAATCACATAGAATGGAGAAATGCGTCCCAATCAGACAAGTTATGAGCAACCAAGACACCTTTCCATTTACCACTGTCCTGTTTCAGGGGGTCAATATATATATTGCAGAATAGCACTCCTCATCATCATCCATTCACCTACCAAAGAAATTCTTCGCCCTGCTTTGAATGGTCTGCCTTGCAGAAGTAGATTGGACCCTGTCTCAAAGATTGCCATCATCATTAGCCCTCTGAATTATGGTGAATAAATAAATTTCCATCTGTCTAAGCTTGGAATTAAACAAGTTCACTTGTAAAGTACTGAGGTAAAATTTCCAGCTGGACATTGAAAGTTTGACTCTTCCCATTAGTAGCTTATGAAGCCCGAGTTCTTCAACCATAGTAGCACCTCTGCTAGTCCATCTTTCAAATTTCTGGGTCTATAATCTAGCTCCAGTTTAGCTTTATTGCAGGAATATTCCCATCGATGCCTTAAAACGTAAACTGTCTGCAGCAAGATTGAGGCATGGAAATTAGAACAAATCACATTATATACCTGAGAACAGAACAACAGCAGAGGAGAATTCTGATCAAATATGGACGGGAAGTCACCATTTCTTTTAGTCTAAATCAAGTAACTTACTGGCGGACTGATGAGGGGAAGCTTTCCAGTTATTCGAGAGAATAAAACTGACAACCAACCATATGCTTCAATCACCCACAGAGGGATATTAAATAACGGTCTTCTTGTATTAGTGACGACAGCGGCTATATCAAAAACGTGCCTAAATGATGCATTTTCACCTGTTAGCAGATACCTATTACCAAGTTGACCTTTTTCCATTGCAGCAATGTGTCCCTCCACTACGTCATCAACATGGCTAAAAGAAAATCTATCATTTCCGTAGCCAATGTAACCAGGTAATCGTCCATTAAAACGTTCAATGATCTGAAGTGTGGCAGCATCAAAGTGCTTTTTCAGTAAGATGTAAGTTAATAGGATTGAAAACGAAGATATCATGTTAAATCATGCAGCTGGTGCTTATATAGAAAACCAGTAATAACAAATGAAAGAGGTCAGAACATCAGTTCTGAATGCATTAATTCCAGTAGTTTGCCAGTAAAATAATACTGCATAGCAAACTATAATGAAAAAGAAAATTAACTCCTTATTTATATTCTAAAACAGGAGGAAGAAAAGGCCAGTTGTGAAATTAAGGGCGTGCAGGAAGTTGGGCATGACAGGATACTAAATAAAAACAAGAATCACAAGTTTTTCAACCAGTTCATTGTCACATCTCTACCAAGCAGACCCTAATTTCAGTGTCATGACGCCTTCCTCATGAGTTTGGCTTGCAGTACTGAAATACTTAACAAAAAAACTTACAACTTACCCTAAAATCCGTAATGCATAGAGCATCAGCCTAACCTAACTTTGAACTGTGGTTTAGTGCTCCTCCTCTTGCTTTCCATATAAACTCAATCTCAATCGCCTCATGAATTTTATGTATACACTAAAGGTGGAAAGCTGAATCGTAAAGATATGATCAAGGATCTGAACAACAAACTAGATGCTAAATTTGCATTAATACATAAACAAAGTTGGTTAAAAACAGCTGAAATTGAATTTAAAAGAGAAAGCATCAAGGGAAATCACAAAATTGCAATCCACTTGTACCCTTAGACTAAAGCTTATAAGCTTCACACATCGGTTTTGCTCCATATTTTACATAAATGAAACGACGGGCATCGAATATGAACTCCTACCAAAAAGTGTCTCCCTATTCCAAGCGTGCATGATACTAGGTAAAACACATATATAAGAACCAGACAGACAAGGGATCATCTTTCTCATCTGATTAAACAAGAAAAGGGAATAGTATTGCTATAAGTTAAATTAGAGTTAAAAACCAGAAATAGTACCAGTCGACCAACAATGTTTCCTGCCGTAACTTTGCCAGGTCCATAGATAACCCCGGGATAAACCACCACTAATGGTATACCCTCAGACACAGCTTGCCTCGCAATTTTATCCGTAGCAACCTTTGATTTCTCATATTCTGTGCAGAAAAACTTTTCATGATGGACCTGTGATTATAATTGAATTTCCGAAACCAATACGCAAACCTAGTAAGAAAAGCTCATAACATCTTCAGAGTATAACTATGGCGAGTAAGCACCAAATAAAAACTCTTCCTACTTGATTCTCATCAGCAATGCTTCCATCAGTTGGTCCCAGAGCAAAAAATGATGAAGTGTATACAATTTTCTCCACTGTATTTGTCTGCTTCACTGCCTCCAACAAATTTTTCAACCCACCAACGTTCACCTAATACAATTAAAAGACAATTGTCAAGGTATCAGATTCGGTTATGTAAAATATATTATATATAGACAGAAAAATGAAAGGTTGCACGCTGACAGATAAGAATTTAGAGGGATCGGGAAGCCAGGGCTCGACAAGAGCGGCTAAGTGGAAGATGATGTGGCAGCTGGAGCAGGCAGAGAGGAGAGAAGCATAGTCAGTGATATCACCGTAGACGATTTCAAGAGCTCCGGCATGGGCAGGCGAAGTGAGGGCGGAGAGATCACTGGTTCGCCTTGCAAGGACCCTAATTGAGTACCCTTTGCGGAGCAAAGCATTGCAGAGCCTTCCCCCGAGGTAACCGGATGCGCCTGTAACGAGTATCTTCATCCCCTCTCTGTTTTGCTTGAACAGATTGGAAGCCACTTCACCGTCGCCCTTCTTCCAGTTCAAATCAGGCTATGTATTGCACTTGCCTCCCTTCCGGTGTTGACTTCCGAATTCCGATAGGTGGTTACTTTCTTCCTTTTTCCTTTTTATTTGGGCGCTCTTCCGAATCTCCGAAGTCTAATGAGTGGCTTCACCTTCCGCACGTGGTTTCGATTTACCTTTATAGGCTGTAACCATTTATAGCTTCCTCCAATTACATATTCCATGCTACTACTATAGTTGTATCTATATCACTTCTAATGCTACACAAGCCGAGCCGGAGGCACCACTAGCTAGGGACACATTTCCCAATATCAATGAATAGGGAGGCTTCCTTTGCTTCAAAATGCGTTGCCTGGGCCTCCTCCATTTATAATGAACATCTTTTGTGTTTTCGTGCTATCAGTTGCTGCCCTTTTTAACCCTATTAACTTCTTGGCATGGCTTCTTTTGTTTCTTTCTCTTAAATTATTTTTGTCGAAGGCATGAAAGAGCTCAGTGTATTACACAGCACGGGGGCAATTTAATTAGACTTGGTTACATTCCTGGTCTTCAACATTTTTTGTCTGTCCATGAAGATCTTGCAATCGATATTGGTGAACAGTTGATGTTGGGTTGCCTTCGCATGGTAAATCCAAGCTCGAAAATAAAGCCCAATGGTGTGGGAGTTTTATAAGAAATTAAAAAAAAAAAAAAGTCTGTGCCAACGAGTGAAATGAATCTGAGCCTTTATATGGAAATATTTCTGTTCCCATTTAAAATTTTGGATTTTGCGCCTCAGGCACGTCCGAACCGTACGGTGAGTGCATGGAGTGTTTTTTTTTTTTTTCCTGTCCTAAAAGTGGATGAAGGTTTAATGCTATATGAAAAGCTTTCATTTTTTTTTCTCAACTGTGCGACAACACAGACCTTTCATCCTCTCTTTTGTGTTTTCTACCTTTCCTTCCTTTGAGTGCATTTGTTGTCAGAGTCAAAACTGTGTTCAGCTGCATAACTGTGTCCCCGCATAGAGATATCCCATCCAATACAATTATACAGATATGTTTCCTCCCCATAAACTATTAGTTGATGACATTATCATGCGAGAGTAATAATAATTTCTAGGCTTAATATTTATGGCATGGAAATGTTATAAGGCTTGTTTTTTTTTTTTTTGGGAAAAAAGAGAATGGGTTGTTGAGAATAGTCAACTTCATTTCCCAACGTGTTGCTTAGATGCAGGGATATCTTGGCTTTTCCCACCAAAAAGGATCTTGTGTCTTGAATATTTTTTTTTAAAGTATTATAATGTCCCCATGTCTTCCTTTCTTTAATAATCAACTGCATGACATAATATAATATATATATATATATATATATATTCAATTATTTATCTTTTTTTATAAGAAGGCAATTATAGTAATAAATAAAAAGAAAAAGTAGATATAAAGATAATCTTAAATGCATCCAGTTTTGGTGCCCATCACATGATAAGCAATATGGAATATGAATAGTTCAGATTAACAAATTTTTTTATATTTTAGTTTATTTTTATTAAAATAAAAATGGAATAATAATAAATATATTTTATTATCGCTGTGGATGATACAAATTTAATTTGAATGATTCGTTTAGTATTAAAATCTGAATCATCCAAATTTTTGATCCCAAAACCAAATTTATGTTAACACATAATTAAAAGAATGGCTGGGGAAAGTAAAAGTGGGAAAAACAAAAATATTAGGACATTTCTTCTAAGTTTACAAATGTTAAAATCCTATAGGAGCTTGAAGACATCCTAATCAAAGAGATAATTTTGTAGACCCAAAGTTTTACAAATGTTAACATGCGAGGTTTCTAGATTTAATTAATCTTAAAAGTAAGGGTGTTCATCTTATATCCATCCCGATTGATCCAGTATAGTTTCAATCATATAGGAATGGGTCTCGTCTCAGCCTGAAAACAATCGAGACATAACTTTATGATAAGAGATAAAGAAGAGGTTCGGGATAGGATGGGACACGTGTAACATCCTAATTTTTTATATAATAAAGAAATTGTGGAATTTAGGTTTTGAGAAAAAAAATGATAATAATAGGAATTTATATTATTTGAGGTTATTTAGAAATAATATTATGGTTAGGTATTTAATTATAATTTAAAAATTTAAATTCAAAACCACATAAGCAATATTTAGTTAAGATATAATACATAAATAATTTTTTTTATGTATGTGTTGAAAAAAAAAAGAGAGAAAGTAGAAGGAACAAAAAAAAAGGGGGTGGAAGGTTGTTGTTTCTAAGTCCCACATTGGTTAGATGAGGGAAGAGAAGAGGTGCCTTCATGTATAAAAAGGAGGGGGTGTGTGCATTAGGAAGCATGAGAGGCTAAGATGCAATTTAGAGAAAATTGCAACTTTTGGCCCAAAGGTTTGAATAATTAAATTCAAACCTATAGTTTTTTTTAATATAATTTTGGGACTCACAATCCCATTTTTATATTATTTTTCTCTCTTCCTCTCACGTTGCTCGGCGTTTTCTCGCAAGGGGGGATTATTTTCTTTTTCTTCAGGTATGTTCTAACTTTCCTGTTTAGATTAGCATTTAAAAATTTATTTAATTACAAAATTAATTTTATAGTTATTTTCTAAATAATATTAGCTTTCTAGTGATATGATTATTTTGTAGGATAGAGTAAATATTTTGATTAGGATTTTTCTATAGGATAGTTAATCTGATGATATGATGGATTAAAAATATAGGTTAAAATTCTTAGGGATATAAAAAATATTATAGAATATTTTTTTAAGGTTGAAACTCATGTTTAAGAATTTTTGAGTTAAAATCTAGATCTATATGGTTGAATTTATGTGGAATCTGAGACGTAGGGATAAACCTATGATTATTAAATATTTATTTAAGTATGAATAGGTATTTTTGAGGTTATAGAAAGGTGATTTGAGGCTTCAGGATAATTCTAAAATTTTTAATTTATTTTTGGATGAATTTTTAGAATGTAGAAGGATGAAATTGTGATACTAGAAGTGAATTGAGGATAAAAAAAAATAGTTCATTAGGGTTAGAAAAGAATTTGGGAAGTTAAATGAGGCATAAATCTTAAATTAGTGTTAATATGGACTATAGATTTAAGACTTTCTAACTCTTTAAATTAGAGTTATTTATTTTAATGTAAAATTAATATATAGTATTGTGAAATAATTATGTAGATTATATTGACAAAGATAGTGGTGAAAAAGGAGTTGTGAAGGGGAACTTGTTATTCAAGACACAAGGTAACCATTATTAATGTGTTGTGATGAGTGTGTTTGTGAATGGTTATGTGTTGTTTTGTTGTTTGGAAAAATTATGAATTATTGAAAATAAATACTGTATATACTTGTTTGAAATTATTGCCAAGTGGGTTAAAATTTATTTTTTTATTTATCATGATGAGATATTATTGTTCGGATATATTCCTGTTTGGATATTTGAATGATGCATGACTTGTCAGGGTATTTTAATGTATGGTGTTAATGGGAATTTCTGTTCGGTTAATTATTACCACGTGGTAAGCCCTCATTGGACCCAATGAGTGGCGTGTCGCTTGGTCCAACTCACCTTTGGCCGGGTGATTTGGCGTCCGAGCATGGTGAAAGGAGGATATAAGGTGCAGTCATGCAATTAAATACTTGTTCGGTTTGTTTGAAAATATTGTTCGGTTAAATGTTTTGTGTGCCCACTTAGCAATCGCATGATTAGTTACATCCGCATGCATCATTACATATTAATTTTTGGTTACTGGGACTTTTAAGTCTCATTCCCCGTGGTTAATATTTTTACAGGAGCGAGTCCGGCCGAGAAAGCACCAGAGGTGTAATTATGGTGTATGAGACACCATCTTTTACGTTGCCTCTTATTTTGGATTATACAATGTATCTTGTGCCAACTTAGGACATATCTTCTTTGTGAAGCATGTAAACTCTAATCCTTTTTATTAAAAGTATTTATATGACCAAGAGGATTATGTCTGTCCCTCTTGATTCATGACCTGATTTAAATAACATGCTATGAGGATCATGTCTGTCCCTCATGGTTCTAATTGCTTTTTGAGATATTTTAAGACCTGTGGTATATTGTCTTGGATGTATCATGGTAGAAATTTTTCTACCATGATAAGGGTATGATAAGGGTTCAATGAAAAAAAAATGATTTCTTGAATTAATAATTTGCGAAAAATCGGTTTGTAAATTTGAGGGTGTTACATATTGGTATCAGAGCATATAGTCGGTTGGCAATATACATTGTTATGGTGCTTCTCATTGTATGGCCATGATATAGCTAGGCTAATTTTATTATTTATATCTTGTATCCTTTAGGAGGGGAGAGAAAATGCCTGTTACTCGTGGTAACTCAGGATTCCAACATGAGCACCTGCCACCGCCACTGCCAAATGAGGAGCCTGACTTGGCGGAATTAAGAATGCTTGTAAAAACATTAACAGACAAGGTTCAAGGATACGAACAAGAGTTGACGGAGCTAAAGAGGCAAAAGGTAACTGAAAATGGAGATAGGGCTCATGTTGAGAGTCATGTGGGGGAAGGCAGTTCCTCACATCCTGCCACTCTGAGAGATCATGAGTCTAGAAGGAAAGAAATTAGGCAGGAGGAACAGAGAGCCCCACCGACCATTACTGATGTGTGGGAAACTGTTAGGAAGTTTAACCCTCCTACGTTTGATGGTAACCTTAAACCATCCGTGGTAGAGGAATGGGTGAAGAGACTCGAATCCATCTTTCGAGTAGTCACATGCACCAGCAATCAAAAAGTACAAGTAGCATTAGTGCTCCTAGTGAAAGGAGCAAGAGATTGGTGGGAGACAGCAGGGCCCAGGGATGATTCTACACTCACCTGGGAGGAATTCAAGGAAAAATTATTCAGGCATTACTTTCCATCAGAGTTAAGGTCTGAGAAGGAAGCGGAATTCCATGCCTTTAAGCAAGGGAACCTCGATGAGGACACATTCATTGCTAAGTTTCAGGAGTTATCTAGATACTCCACGTACCTGCAGTATAGGGATGATTCCGAATGGAAGGCTAAGCGCTTATTGGAGAAGGCTAGACCAGAATTGAGGGAACAATTGGCTCATCTAGATATCCGAGATTATGATGAAATGTGCATAAAACTACAAGTAGTAGCTCGCAGTAAGAAGGAGGTTGAGAGAGAGAAGAGGGGTTATTCATATAGTAGACCCCCAACCTACCCTCGACCCACCGGAGGCATTATGAAGAAAAACCATCAGGGTTCGAGTAGCTCATGGAACCAAGGAAGGCAGAAGGGTCCATTTCAAAGGGGCCAAGGACAGA